ATCCTATTGATGAATAATATGTCATTGAATACCCTTTAAAACACCAAGTTTCTTTACAAATGAGTCGTGTGGGTGGATAGTTTGAGAAGGCGTACATCGCAAATAATTCTATAGTGGTAACCGCTTGAGCTCCCCTACAGGGTAATGGAGCTACAGGGTAGTAAAAATCGGGAGATGAAAAACGAGCGAATGATCTGCCAAATTGCAGGATGAGCTTGACATGCAGTCGGCATAACTTTACACATGCGAATACGCAAATCTGTTGAAAACCGACGTGACCTTTGGTATTACATTTTGAATAAATATTGAAAAGCCCAATATAAATCTGTTCTAATCTTCTAAAAGGGCCAAATAATGTTTCGCCATTTCAATAATTCTTACCGATAAAGACAAATGAACCGATCCGCTTATCACTGGCTTCCTCGTCAGCACCAGATAATGATATTCTAACCATAGCAGTTTGATGTTGGAGGTGAACGCGAGTCACTTGATCGTCCAACAAAGTCCCCATTAATGCGCTAAACACTCACGTCATGGAACTGAAGTCGGGAATTTTCATTCGTCTGTGGTTTGCGTGCACTGATTTATCTTGTCTGCAGGTCATGGGGCTAAGGATCTACATTCCACACAATCCCATCAACAGCTGGCTAACAAGATCGACTGGTGCTTGGGAGAGACAAGGAAGACTGACGCTGGCACTGGGGAATTCGTCCGCACGGCATATCAGCGCATTACTCGCCACAACAAGTTTGACGCGCTTGAATCTACCACAACGCGATAAACTTAGTTGCCTGCAAAACTGCCAACCAGTCGGAATAACTCAGTCATCCTGCCCAGTGTTTGCGCAGAGTGTCTGACTGGAAGACAGAGAATCAGGTTCAGTGGTTCTTTAATGTGACCTTCAGGGCACTCCCACTGATGTAAGCCCGGAGCCGCCCTCTTTAAGATCTCGGCACATTCTACGGAGAGCGGGTCATGTGTGGCACGCGCAGACCGCTGCGCCTGAGCTCACCACCGGTCGTTCTAACACTGTCTTATCACCGGAGCCCGTTGTGTGGAGGAGAGTGTGAGGTGTATACTGTGCAAGTCACCGTCCTGCATCCAATCCGTGGGACATATGGTGGACCTCGTCCCTCACGACGGTCACACTGTCCCTTCCTACACAGGCGGTCGCATGGTAGCTGGAGGTCAGGGTTTAATCGCCATTTCTGGACATTTTCTTAGGTCTCACCAGTGGTGTTTGCATTTATTCTACTTCATTTTTGTCCGAAATGTCATTAGAGATTCGTAATTATGGCGCCCGAAGTGGATCGCTGCATGTTTAGGTTATTGCATGAGCTCAAAGAATGTAAGCATCTGCTATGCCATGATCGGAAAACCATGGCGCTCACAGCCAGGTATGCGCTGGCAGTTCCCTGACAACCGGTTCCCTACTGGCAGATGCGCTTGCGATCCCGCTGGATACACAGGTCGTGAGCATGGCTGTCGAGTCATCCCCCTCCTTCTAAATAGTCGCAGTGCTGTTGCTGATGGTTAAAGTCGCATATTTGTTGTAGACCAGGAGATGTGGTGGTACGGTCATGCCAGGTATCTGCGCAATCCCTCATCTTCTGTCTTCTTGACTACGTGTTCACACCGGAACTAGGTGGGGAGGAGGTGAGGGTGCGTTAGATGCCGAGCAAGTCGACTCTCACTATAAACTAATTCAAACGCAAGTCACCGTGCTTGCTCCCATCTTGCTGTGGAGTGCAAGGTGGGCATTGTCAGGCACGACGGTTGAACGGTCAGGTAATTTCGTACAATGAGCCAAGCAACAAACAGGTACTCACAGACACAGCTCCCAATAATTCGACGTTTTTATACTAATCTAACTCATCCAGTTTCGGTGCACTCCTAGCTGTAAGACTGACTAGCTTTCCCTCCCAATTATTTCCTCTCATACTTACCTAAATGTCGTGATAAATCAGTACATTCGTACTTCTGCTAAAACTGATTAGCCAAGTAAATGAATAAGTCAGAGGGAAATAAGGACACATTATGAATATCTTGCCAGACAACTCTTTGCGAGTTGTAAATTTATCATTTCTACCACCAAAAATAAAGCCCATTAAACTTCTAGCTTCCCCTTCATAAACGACTGTCCTGGGAAAGCTAACGTTTTGAACGCCTATTCAAAAAGTAAGTCCTGAATGAATGATTTATAATCATGGTTTCTTGTAATGAGTGCACAGCGAGAAATTTCAAGTGTCACAACATCCTGGTGCCCAAGTCAGGAGGTTGTTGTGGTCAAATTACTTTCGTCGCCCTTCCAGATGCCTGACAAATGCCCGAAGGCCAGACCGTGTACGGCACGCGTAGGCGGGTTATTTAGTTGTGTCGGCCACCACGCTTCAGACCACCGCCTCTTACCCTGACCTTGCTTGCCCATTTGGGCCTGGTAGTTGAGGTAGGAGAGAGAGTGCGATGAGTACTGCGCCGGTCTGCGTCACTTTAAACGAATTCATGCACAGGCGACCGCCCTGCGCGCACTTCATGGATTACACCGCGGACTCGGACGCCAGCGACGGCCGAACTTCTGTAAAACATCAATTGGCCACCCACGGCACGACAAATGAAACTCGTAAAGGCCAGAGAGCAAGAACTGGACAGAGAAGTCTCGGCTACAAAGGTGACGATGATGCCGGACTCCCTGCTACCTGGGTGGCCAGAGTGCAACGGACTCTGCTATGTATCAGGCGTATCAGATTTGCCCCTGTCCATTTCGGTGTTCGTTTTTCGCCCCTCTCCCCCGCGGGCATGCAGGCCCCGCCATGGCGCGACCCATACGATCAACGTCTCTGACAACCGCAGCACAGAGACACTAGCGCGGACAGTCAACTGTATATGTCCACGCATAAGTTTGACGACCAGTCAGTGCTCTGACGTCGCATGACTTCTCTACCACTGGCTTTGTGAGCATACAACCGCTTGCCTGACCACTGCGTACTGCCCGTTGGGGTTGCATCAACATTGCTGTGGACTTGTCGCATGTCTCGACGGCCGCCCATCCAACAACCCTCCTCGATCGCGTCCCTAAACCAGAACTCAGCAACGAGGACGGAATAGGAAAAGCGTCTTGGCGTATTCTAACAGCGCGCATAAGACGAAAAAGGGACATACGGGAATACCCAAGGTCGGACTGATATTGGACCAATCGGATACTGCCCTTCCAAGGTCACCATGTCAGCCGGACTTCTAACTCATTTAACTAGCTGGATAAATCGCCATTTCAGTCGAGAACTGGACAGACACAGTTCAGTGTAACCTAGAGGAGGTAGTGCGTATTATTAGGCGTGCCAGTGGAGTTCGCATAACTGGCCTCTATTCCGAGGAACGATTAATCTGTGAACCTCAGGAAGAAACAATGCACTAGTCCACCAACTGTCTGTGCCATTATTTTGCCGTCCGTTTTTATGCTCCGGACGCACTCAAGGCACTCTCACTGGATGACTGGGCGTTCACTGCAAGGGCGGCTGCGTTTCAGAAGCTTTTGTTATGTTCTTCGGGGCGCACTTCTGCGTCTTTCGAGTTTTAAGTAATCATAGGATATTTCGCAAATGAAACTTCTTACAGTTGATAATAATTATAGACGACAATTAATTGATGCACATAGAATATACGAAATAAGACAAAACACACAGCCAGAAAACGAGTGCTGCAAGATGGAATCGAGTGGCGGACTTTTTGACGTCACACCGGACGCTATGTGCTTGAACTGCGGTCGACGCGTCTCCAACTAGTGTGAATAACAAGTATCACCTTATCCAGTCGTCTTGCAGCTTTCTTGCCATAGGAGTTGGTGTGGTGAGGAAGGAGAGGGTGAAGCGGGTGTTGTGCAAGTCATCGGCGCTCCGGTGGACGTCGTCACTCGTCACGGTCGAACTCTCACCTTATTTAGACTCTAAAGGCGGACCCAATGCAGTCTGAGCTGCGTTTTATTCCCGGTTGAAGGATAAAATTGTTAGACCCAAAAAGTGGCATTTACACAGATTAAGCTTGTTTCAATCCGCAGTAACAGTAAGCAGAAAGTATACTCTCAATTTTTAAAAAAATCGTGCTGCTTAGTTGAGTCGAACGAGTGACCCTGCGAGTTAGACGTAATGCATTTCAACGGTTGTGGGATAAACAAACGCAATTACAAATGAAGATGACTAGTGGGACAGCTGCAAACGGTAAAGACTTCTACAATGGCGAAATATGTCAAGATGAACTAGTTTCTAAAATTCGCAGACGCTCTCCGTGGTTTGGATAGCCATTACTACTGAAGTCTCAGTAACTAGCTCGGCGGACATTTAAAAACACCAC